CTGCTGTGGCTGACATCCAGCTTCAGGCAGAGTAAAATTCCTCTGCCCTTCCAGCTGATAGGGTATTCCTCCTGCTTTTCCCAAACCAGTAACTTGCAAACAGTGGAATCACTGTGGAATTCAGCCATGAATAAAGCCATAAATTCAGCCATGGGTAAAGGGGTTGGTGATGGTTTCACAGCAGCTTTCTGGGGGCTGTTCTAATAAGAAAACAGTTTGACAGGTGTTATGGAAAAATAAACATGGATAAAGTACATTTCTTTTCTCCTATTTTAGCCAAAGCCTCAGATTTATTTTGGTGGACAGGCTGCAGTCTTAGGATCTTCGGGAGCATTACCTGAGGGTATAACTGATGCCTCATATTGCTGCTAAAAGGATGCAGGGTTACAGGGCAAAGAATCAAGAGATTTTTCTGAAGATGTTTGGCTCTCTTCTCCTGGACTTGGGTGTGTGAACTGATGAAAATTGATCAGAGATTATCCTGACTTGAAAGGGACACACAAGGATCATCCAGTCGAACTCAGATCCTACACAGCACACCCCAACAGTCCCACCAGGGACTTGAGGGTGTTGTCCAAACACTTTTTGAGCTGTGTCAGGCTTGGGGCTGTGACCACTGCCCTGGGGAGCTGTTCCAGTGCCCAAATACCCTCTGAAGGAAGAACCTTTTTCTGATACCCAGACTAAACCTGCCCTGGCATAGCTCCAGGCCATTCCCTCAGGTCTTGTCACTGGTCACAGAGAACAGAGATGGTTCTCCCCCTCCTCTTCCCCTCATGAGGAAGTTATAGATTGCTGTGAGGTCTAAAAAGTTGAATAATGTTCAGTATGGCTATAAATCAGTGCATGGAATCCTGACAGATGTCTCCTGGCCCAAAGAACATATCAGGCTGACTTTCTCCTTGCACTTTAGAGCCTTCTGCCTCATTTGGACAGGTGTCTACAGGCTTTTTTGGACAACAGAGATACTCCCAATCCTGGAGTAGCTGTTTGCTCTGAGTCACACATAGGAGCAATAATTTGCTAAGTCATGTAAACTGGTTGTTGCTGTGTAACACAGCACTCACAGCCTGGAATACAGCTGGAGCTGCATCTGTTGTTTCTCATCTCAGCCTGAGATCTCTGATGTCTGTTTATCCCACACCACCCTCTAGTTCCATGAAAATTATTGATTTGGTTGCCCAGGTCTCCCTTTATTCCCCTTCTACTCCATCTAGTGACATTTCTTTCTGAGGGGATTGTGCAAAACCAACATTTCCTGTCCTTTGACCTGGTCCTTGCCTGACCTTGTGTGCCCTCAGCCATCCAATCCTTCCAGCTTTGCTCCAGCATGTACAACATCTCAGTACAAGCTGTTGCCACACCAAGGAGATAATAACAGAGTAAAAAAAATTACATTTACACTGATTTTTCACTTCTAATTTACTCCTTTGCCCCTCAGAACCCTAATGGTTGTGTTTTGAGTTCATTTGTCTTTAGTTTCTTGTTTCATTGATTTCAGTTCAGCTTACAGATGATTTGGTTATTTGGTCATTCATCCCACCTGGAGGACTGTGGCCAGCTCTGAGGCCTCCAGCACAAGAAAGTCATGGACCGTTGGCATGAGTCCAGAGGAGGCCATGGAGGTGCTCCCAGGACTGGAACATCCTTCCCATGGAGCCAGGCTGGGAGGGCTGGGGGTGTTCAGCCTGGAGAAGAGAAGGCTCCAGGGAGATCTTAGAGCCCCTTCCAGTGCCTCAAGGGGCTCCAAG